TTCCTTCTAAGGCATCTTGAGTCACTGGGTGCTCCAGCCCCCAGTGCCCGGGGAAGTTCAGCTCAAATCGGAAATGTGTGTGTGTGTGTGTGTGTGTGTGTGTGTGTGTGTGTGTGTTTCCTGAACCAAAGCTGCTGAAAATCCAGATGACGTTGCCACTTGGACTGAATCTCTTGCAGGCAGAGAGCTTCCTATTTCCATCCCAGGAGGAGGATGGAAGTCACTTAATGATCAGTTTCTCTGACCATGTTCCAATATTACATCACAGTCTTCATATATATGTTTATTTTGAGAGAGAGTGAGATAGCGTGAGTGGGGGGGAGGGGCAGAGAGAGATTCCCAAGCAGTCTCCATGCTGTCAGCGCAGAACCCAACACGGCTCCATCTCATGAACCATGAGATCATGACCTGAGCCAAAATCAAGAGTCGAATTTTCACCTGAGTCACCCAGGTGCCCAACCTGACGTCGGTCTGAACAGCAAGCTTACCCCTCACTCCACTCCCAACATGGAGCTGCTGACACTTTAAAAATCCCAATTGTCACCTCGAAGCGTATAGCACGCCCACACTATTCTGCCTCCCACCCCTTAGGCTGCAATTTCAATTTAAACACCAAGTGATGCCAAGCTGGGTTGGCCAGAATCCTAGAAAGCCACCTAGTCTAAAAATCTTCTTTTACCAAGGAGGAAACTGGGGCCCAGAGAAGGGAAGCACCTGTCCACAGCTCCAGAGGGAAAGAACCAAAAACAAAGAGCCAGGCCTAAAGTGTCAGGCAGAGGGGCTCTGTCTCCACAGTGGTGTCCACATCCTTTAGTTCAGCTCCTGTATACAGAAGGGGCCAAATGCTCCCTGGAAGCGGGTCTCAAGCCTTCTGACCAAAGCAGGGGCTTCCCCTGTGACCTTTCCCCTTCTTTTTGGCTCTCTCACGGATTCTGTGCAGAAGGAAACGGGCAAAGCAACCTGGAAAAGATCCTTCAGGAAAACAGGTGGACTTTCCCGCTAGAGAACTTTGCCTAGGACCAGGGTCTGAACAGGATCGGAACAGGGGAAGGTTTCACCTCCAAGGTTGTAAAGTTGCATCCCACCCCGTTTCCTTGGCCGCCCTGCTCTTGACGCGGGCAGAAGTAATATGGGCTTAGGTATAAAATTCCCGTCCAATTTGTACAGTGCATTTCTTCACACAATTCCTCAAGAAACTTGGAATTAACGCTGAGGTTAAAGGGAAATGAACCTTTTCGTGGTGTGAATTTTCTGCATAAAGCAAGCACGGATACAGTGATTGGCCACAAGATTGAGTTCAAATGTCAGCTATTATCACTTGAACTTAAAACTAGAGTAAGGCTAGAGTGGGATGTGTCTGTGGTGTTTCTGGCCCCTCATGCTCGCCCACTGTCCTAGAGCCTGGGTGGAATAACATCTGAGGGCAGGTGTACCTCGCCCATTAAGCAGAAGGGATCGGAGGCTATACAAGCTAAAAACCTACACAGTTCGCAGTTAGAGATGAAAGGCTGCAGAAATGTTTATTGAATACAGTGCCAGGTTTATAAATAAAACTTATTTACAATTTCCATAGAGTTGGTCCCCCATCAGAGAGGTGGTTAAATCTCCAAACAGTTTATCTCAAGATTTACAGAAACATTCAAGTACATCTCCTTTTCAAATCGCCATGGTGAAGGGTTAACTCCGGTAACAGAACTACGGCCATCTTTTGCTACAGACGTGTGTAATGAACAGTAGAAGGGCTGGAGAAAGAACACACACCCCACCCACGCCACTACCTTCTTACTCGAGGGATACAGACCGCAAAGGATTTCTGTCTCCTAGAAGACAACTTCAGGGGATTTAAAAAAAAAAGGAAATCGTAAACTGCCGGCTGAAGGGACGGGTTAAGACACATTCGTGGAATCCTAGTCACTGCCAAAAGGATAATGTATTTAGGATATACAGTATTAGTTCAAAGGTTTAAAATAATTGAATGAAACAAGAGCAGACCCTTGACCAAATTTACATTCTTGGTTTAGGAAGAAGTTCCCAGTATGCTGAGGGGCCAATAATATGCTGCTACTCTGATGTGCCACGGTGGCACTTAGGGAGGCCTACCGGACGGCCGCTCGTTACGATACAGGTTAGAAGTACAGTCAGACATGCATTTATAAAGAGAATATAAAAATATGTACAGTAGCTAATTTTCAATGTGTTGCCGAAAGACACCAATTAAAGTGTGCAAAAATTCATTTGTCTAAAAATCAGAAAAAAAGCCTTTCTTGGCAACAGTGCATCAAAAGCCCATCTGAAACATCGAGATGCATTTGCCTTGCTTAACACCTACCCCAAACAGATGGAGAACAAAACTATGAAAGTGTTTGCCAAGTACTCAGCAGTTTTTTTATGGCAAGTCTCAGGCTCAAGCGGGATGCCAGTTAAACTAGTCACTTTATATATATAAATATATGTATATATTTATAGAGCAGTTAGAAGTAGGGGCAAGAGTTTACAGGAAGGTGCTAACCAACGTTAGGGGGACGGACCCCCACATCCAGCTATTTCCTCTCACAAACTTGTGCAGCCTGCAAACGCCCAATCTGGGCTGGTCATCCCCTCAAAAGCCAGAGGGGAAAAAAAAGGCTACAGCGGACTGGGCTGCCCCTCGACACCAAGCTGAACTCAGCACTCCCTGGGGGCAAGGCTTCACTTCCCATCCAGGATGCTGGCCATGTAAGACTCTGACTTCATGAACGGTCTTTCACGAAAGACTGTGGGACCGCTTAAATGGAGCCCACCCAGCTTCTAGAAAAAGACTTGACGAAAGAGTTAAGACAGAAGGCAAAGTTTTGAAAACAAGTTAAATCACCCCCATCCCTCTTTGACGCTACGGAGAGGCCACTGAACACAGGCCCGCGATGGGTCAACACTTGGCCTCCCTGCAAGAAACGTCCAGGAGCCCTTGGTCCTCACTGTCTCACCAGAAGAACCTCTAAGGTGTTCTCAGGTGCTCCTTCCAGATCCAGGGAACCCTGAAAGCCATCTCTAGTTCAGTCACCTTCTCTTCTACAACCGCCCAGTCTAAGGACCAGCAGCAGATGGGTGGGCTCCTCTCCACGGCTCTGACCTATCCCTCTGGCAGGAAATCTAACAGGCTGCAAAATGCCAGAAAGACAGGGAGTAGGAGAGGGAGAAGCCAAGGGTCTCTATAAACCAGCCCCGAATGCACCCGTTTGGCTGCCAAGAGCTTCTCGCTGCCTCACTGGCAGCCTGCTGCTGTCCCAGGCAAATTAAAACCGCCCACGAACACTCTTGAAACCCCCATCTCCTTACTGGTAAGCTACGACCAGTTAACACCCTGAAAGACGCACCTCCAGCCTTCACTGCAGAAAAAGAGTTCTACGCTAAACGCATTCTGTCTTTAAAGGGGCTTTTGGAGAACACCAATCCCACCGCAAAGACCAGTGTCAGCATCTCAGTTTTGGTTACAGGTTTATAATTAGACACAAAATCCACTCCATGCTGGAGTTGTTTACTTTCAGGCTGGGGACTACTTGGGAGAAAGAAAGCAAAGTGTCAAGTCCACTGCAGGAAAACAAAACAAAACAAAAAAATAGAAAAGAAAAGGAGGCTAAGGAAAGTAGTATAAATTAAAAGTCATCAATCAAAGGGGACCGGTGGTGTCTTTTAGGCACGAAGACTGGCTAAGAAGGGACCTCGTGCTCCTACCACCCGGCGAGGATTGAATTACAGACACACAAAACCATGTCTCTTGCACAGATGGTCTCAAGTAGTTACATAAAACAGGTCATCGGCAGCACGACTGAGAAGAACCCCGAAGTACATGCTTGAGAAAAAGTGGGTTTTTTTCCTTCCTTAAGAGCTCCGCTGCCTGAATAATCATGAAGCTCCTGGCCTTCACACCCCACCTCCCCCCAGTGAAAATACAAGTAGACCTACGTGCCTATGGACAGGACGAAGCAATTGCTATCTGCCCGGCTTTAGGCAAGGTCTCACGCTCAGAGGTCGGTGCTGGGATGTCGGGAGGGCGAGAAGCCTGATTCTGGGCTGTGGGCGTTAAATGGTTAAACCTCTCCTCCAACTGCCTTGTCCCCATTTAGATCTCAGCTTTACAAAGCATTTAACACCACTTTAAGTTAATGGTCTTTTTATTGGAAAAAAAAAAAAAAAAGACTAGCATTTACAACTTGGAATGGACGTTAAATTGTAATTTCTTGAACAGCAATGTTGATGGTTGTGCTGAAGAGTCCACAGCCACAGCCTACCTCTGCTGGCTCCAAGTCAGGTTCAGGAGGTTTTAAAAACAGAGAGTCCAAAGATGCTCCCTTGGTAAAGGTTTCTTTTTAAAAATTTGTGTGAATGGTGACAGCCCGACACCCATCTCGCTCTCTGGTACAATGCGGACAACGCTAAACCAACACGCACAGGATGCCGGCAGGATGTGTCACTGTCACCACGGGTGGGGGCGCACGAAGTACAGGGGGCCGTCCTGCTCTGTGGGGCCGCGTCTAGACGGTCTATCTATCCTTCACCCTTTTTTCTGCACAGCATCCTGAGGTAAACCAATTTTAAAGGTTTGTTTTCGGTAAACCCGCTATGACAATTTATACTAACAAATTGAACTAGAACCCATCTGAAACAGGTTTTTTTAAATTTGTTTTTTCATTTTTCGTTTTTAATACAAAGGCCTGACTGTGCTCAATCGTCAAGCTGCATGCATGAAAAACTGGCCAGCCCAAACAGTGTAGTAATCATTAGCAAATGGAACTGCAAGGAGTCCACTAAGTGCTTCCTTATCGTTAAGGTAGTACAAGTATTTATATCGTAAAACTGATGTGTAGCGCTTCATCTTTAGGGGACAGGACCACCAACCAATACATGCAGATTTTGTGTGTGTGGACAGAAGGTACTTTTGACATTCAGTTTTGCTATATAGAAACAGAATGAGTAAATGAACTTTTTTTTTTTTTTTTTTTTTTTTTTTTTTTTTTTTGCAAGAGGTAAGTAAAAGATTCAATTTGATTCTTCTAGAGGGGGGAAAAAAGGAGTTGAAAGTAGGTCTTCACTTTGCAGTCATCATCTGTACGAATTCTGAAAAGACAAATAATCATAGCTTTTGGTTATCTTCAAAAGTAGCTTTCATGAACACGTCAGCTCTCTTCTGCATTAAAAACAAACCAAAAAAACCCCTGTCTAGTGAAAGCAGGTAGCTTGTTTACCGACACCAAAGGGAAGTCTATTCAAAACTAAGCTAAGGAAATTGTAGTGTTTTACCTTCATAGTTGACTTGCCCGTCTCCATCGATATCTGCTTCTCTGATCATTTCATCTACTTCTTCATCTGTTAGTTTTTCTCCTAAGTTTGTCATGACGTGACGTAGTTCTGCCGCACTGATGTAACCGTTGCCATCCTGTGAACGTGGAGCCTTGTTACTGACGGCGGCAGCTGAGCAGGCCTGTGACTTCGCCATCCCCTCTCCCAGTAGTGCCACTTCTGCATACAGCCTGCACATCTCCGGTCCGGCCCCCTCTCCCCGCTTACCGACTACGTGCATACACTCAGCGAACCCAGAGAACGCAGGGGCTTTGCAAAAGCTAACAAACTGAAAGTAACAACCAAGAACTTGGCTCAGAACTCGCCACTACTTACTATGCTTACTCTCACCCAACAAGATGGCTGCAGAAGTCAGGATATTTGAAAGTGAGATAACAGGGCCCCGGCAATTAGCTTTAAGTGTGCTAACTAGAGAACAGATTGTCAGAGCATTTAGAAATGATAGGGGGAAAAAAAAAAAAAAGCCATATGTAAGTACCGTCTGCAACACAGATGCAGGATTACCTTGTCAAAGACTCGGAATGCCTCGCGAATTTCTTCTTCACTGTCTGTATCTTTCATTTTTCTAGCCATCATAGTCAAAAATTCTGGGAAGTCAATGGTGCCATTACCTTAAATTAAAAAACAAAAGCTCACGTAAAAGAAATGCTCCAGTAATGCTACCTGGCAGTGATAATCTTAAAAGCACTTTACGGAATGGTTGAAGCCTCAGTGGCACAAACTGGTAAATTATTTTATTAGGTAAAACCATTTATAAGTCTAAACTGTTTAAACACTTTGCAGGGTAATTTCACATGATTCGTGGTAATTCAAACTAGCAATCGGTGCCCAGGATATCATTTAACGATGCAAAGGAAAGTGCACACGTGGCCTCTTGACCACTAATGGGGGGGGGTGTACAGTTCGAGAGAAAGAGCACAGCTCCCTTCCATTCCCGAGAGAGGCTTTGGAGAGCGCCGTCCCCCTGAGTGAGGGTGACCACTCCGACCTAACTCTGCCTTGGCCAGTGATGCTGGGAAAGGCTCAGAACTGGCCTGTCAATACAACCAAACATTCTCACAGAAGAAAAGAATTACGGGAGGGGAAAAACTGACTTTGTTATGCCACAGACCATAAACCGTCACAAAGTCTTCTCCAGAAGGTGTTTCTCAACCACATTATAAGTCCACTAATCTTTTTCTCTCCAATTCCGTATCTTTGTTTGTTTCCCATTAAGGGCAAGGCTCGGAAGTGTTTTCATAGCTCAGAACCGTAAACATTTAGGGAACAGTGTCAGAAGAATCTGTTCTACAGCCAGTATTCCCAACAACTTCCCCTCTAAAACGAAGAGTTACGTGAACCACCTCCAGAGACAAGCCACCAGATTAACAGGGTAACTTGCATTAAATGGAAACAAAACTAGAGGGAAAAAAGCCTTAGGTTAAGCACTCATTTTCACAAGCAAGTACCTTTAAATCAAAATAGTAATTCAAAGACCCCTTTAAGTCATTTTGGCCTCCAAAATTTTAAAGCATTAATGACATTCACGCAAGACAAAAATTATTTGAAGTGCCATCTCCTAGCCATGCAGAGAAGACGTCCTCAGGCATTACACTTATTCATCACAAAGTGTTAGATTCTGTAGCCCCAGACAACTTCTCTCTCCTTGTTCCATACAATCTAAGGGCCCAAGACACTTTGCCAGTTGCGAGTCCCTAAGCAGTTTCCTAGGCTTCACATGAAACGGGAGGCAGCCACTCCATGTTCCCAGATGGCCTTAGCAATCAAACGCAAGAGAATTATGAGCTATCTCCTTTCCAAAACAACACTAATATGGATGAAAACTCTTTCTGAAGTAGCCCAAATGGGCTGAAACCACTTGTTAAAGAGCTCGCCCCAAACCCCTGCTTCTAAATGTGATCAGACAAGTTTAACTCTACTTTATCACCTTAGGATACCACATTTGTTTAAATGGCTACTACACCAAGCCAATCATCTAGAAAAGAGTCTAGATCCAAACTGTTTATTCTTGGCTCATCTTTTGAAAAATTACCCATGTTCTACAATGTTACACAGTACATGTATATATGGTTTCCACAAACACATGGTGTCTTTTTTTTTTTTTTTCAAGAGGGGAATGCTCAGAAATTGTTTACTGATAGAAGTGAGCAAGATAAGGTCTACTCTCCACTCTTCTAGAGTCCAGAGAAATGGATGACCAATTGGTGACCAACTGTTACAGGGGTTACTGCTTGTTCCTTCTTGCTCTGCACCTCATCTTCTTCTTCTAGTAGATTCTATAAATCTACTCCGTACAGTCACCAAGCACCCCATCTCTCCAAGCTTCACGTGATCTTCAAAATTCTCTGGCACAAACACATCCACAGCTCACGCCTGTACTCAATTCTAAGGGTGCTCTTTTCCCACCTTCACTTCCCACTCCTCGAGAGACAGACAGTAAGCTCTTTTAAAAGGTCTACGGGTACTTTTTTTTTTTTTTTTTTTTTTTTTTTTTTTTTTTTTTTTTTTTACTTCCCCCACAGGACTCAGTGCAGACTCATGGGCCAGTTGATAAAAGATTGAGCTGTAGGTCACGGCAAGTAGAAAAGAACAAATCAGCGATCTGATCCAGGAAATGTTCTAGACAGTGAGCACAGCCAAAGGCAGGCCCATAATCTTCTATTTTCCTTGTCAACGGCTGTAAGGCAACCACTGCGGTGCATGTGCTTTGCTCTGGGGACCTGAAAGACAATCTTGTGACATGTCTGAACTTGCATTACACAACGCTGGCACTCATTCATAGGTCTAAGCCCTCACCGTCAGCATCCACCTCGTTGATCATATCCTGCAATTCGGCTTCTGTTGGGTTCTGACCCAGTGACCTCATGACGGTTCCAAGTTCCTTTGTTGTGATGGTACCATCGCCATCTTTGTCAAATAGGGAGAAAGCTTCCTTGAACTCTGAAAACAAAAGCGTACCCTTTAGAATGAACGTCTTTATCCAACCCAGGCACAGCACACACTTTCCTTGGGCTTGCCAAAGCAAACCGTCCAAGTTTGGGAATTATCAGTAACTGCCTGGTCTTTATCTGCTAAAATAAAGACCACAACAGTCCTATTGGACTGGCCTCCATTCAGCAGTCCATAAAGCAAAACCACAGTGTTCTCACGTTTTTCAAGAAAACTAAGCTTAAACACACTTAAGTTAGTCCTCAATCCAATCTGACAAGTGAAGATTGGTCAGCAAGTTCCCTTCAGGCCCCTTCCTGTTAAATTTCTACAGCCATAAGCACTCCTGGTTTCATAACAACATGAAGCGGTTCCTAGAAACGTACAGTCCCAGGTAACCAGGCTGTTCTCTCTACATGGCACTTAACATCTCAAAGGCGTATTCCTGGTTTCCTGAACAGAATCATCCTCAAAAAAAGCCCTCCAAGGAACACTAAAAGCTAGAATCTAAACTAACTCCCTTTCCAATGATTATAGTAGTCCTAACGCTCATTTTCCCATTTATTTTCAAACAGCAAGCCCAAGCCTTCGCGGTGAATTACTAAAAGCCCCGTGGCATAAGAATTCTAAACTCCATTTGCGAGGAGCAGGCTCAGCGCCATCTCATTACGCGCGGAGCCCTGAACACCAGGACGTTCAGTCAAACACTCCAGGGCGGAACAAGCATTCCCACCTCCACTTCCTTCCACGTTGCCTCTGAAACACTGGCAAGGAATTCACTCTTGACCTAAATATCTCTGCATATTGTTTCCATTTAAATCAATTCTTAGAAAACTGCTCAGATTATTCGGGGGGAAGGGTCAGAGAAGCCACCCACACAATCGTGCCTAGTTCTGGTCTACTGGAACCCCCTGAAGTCAGCAACTTACCAGCAATCTGCTCTTCGGTCAGCTGATCAGCCTAGATAAAGAAAGAAGACGTTATAACTCAATGCACAAGAGTTGACTGAGGGCAACATAGTTTTCCCAATTATACTTTTAATATTGACCTTTAAAAAAAAAAAAAAAGACAACCATCCCCAAACGGTAGCACTGCCCTTAAATGAAACCCATTTTAAAAACAAACGGTGACAAAGAAGTGACAACACTGTACTTCAGGTTTTCTTGGCTGGGCCTAAGGCGATGTGCTGAGGTCTCCCTAAGGAAGGGTCAGTTCATAATTTGAAAAATGGCACCTCTAGCGGCAAAAGGCCACACCGCATAGGATGCAGCCACAAGCTCTGAGAAAGAAGAGCGCCACCTACTGCGCCAGGGACACCGCAGTCCCCCCTTCCATCCAAGGATCCTAGTCTGAGGCTGCTGTCACCACAGCCAGGATCGCGTCCAGGGGCAGGCTTTTAGCGCACCTTGCGCATTGCTGCGGGAGCTCCAAAATCTCCGAATAGGCGTTACGTAATGGCATTGGAGTGGATTAAGAGGCTTTTAGATCTATTTTATGAGACGCAATGAAGTGGAAAAAAATAAATTTACAGCAATGGGTTACCCCACCTAACTTGATTTCCATGTAATAAATGCTTTCTGTTTAAATTAGGCAGTTATGTCTTAAAAGCCTACCATTTATTACGGCTGATGCCCTCAAATTATCTTTGACGAAGAAGCCAGGAAAAAATGGAACCATCCTACAACTGAGCTGTTACAAAACTTCAAACGTTAAGTACACATAAAGTACACAACAATTGTAAGACTACACCTTCTCTTTTCTGGAAAAGAAGTAGCTATTAACTTTGCCAGAGAATATTTACTCTACCAATCTACCAAGAGCTGCTCATAATAAACACACTTTACTTGAGGTGGTAATGGCCATGAAGGTAATTCTCACTTGTATTGTCTGATCTCTGCAACACGGAACCTGTGCCTCCAGCCAGAGGAATTTGAGAATGCAAGGAGAGCTAATATGGATTTTTATTTTAATGAAGGACACCACCTAGTGAAGCCAGTTACAAAGTAAGTTCTAACAGAAAGCTAACCAAGTCATGTTTACTCGAACTCTTAAATGAAAACTTTCCCAATAAGAACGTTCCAATTTATTTATTTGGGGGGGGGG